TGCTAGGCAACCTCATGGTTCCAGCTCCCTGAACTTCAGTTTATTAATGCACCTTTCTCTTCTTTGTTTTTATGTTGTTTATCCAGTTGATTATGGTTTTGTCAATTTTACTGATGCTTTTGGATAGGATTAATAACTAAGTTCTTCCTTAGAGAATAGTTACCCAAGCAGCTCAGTAGCTGTAGCATTTATTGATTTATGCTGGACTTCCCACCCTACACATTATTATATTTAATACAAGATACTCTCAAGGATATTAGAATTTGATTGGAAAACTAGATTATAGGCAAAGAATTAATGAATATTGTCTTGAGCAGTTCAGGTCAATTATATATAGAAATTAATCCCCTATGATTTGTGTGGCACCATGTAAGATATCAGGCACACCAAGGTGCATCTCCTACTTTTAAAAAGCTCACAGATGTATTTTCTACTTTCAAAAAACTCACAGCTCGGTGCTGGAGAGGCAGTGAAGATTGATTTTTTTTCCTAAGCAATTACTTGGCAGTCACAGAAGGGAGGTGTCCAACAACCTGTTCAGCGATCGAGTCTAGATAGGGCTTCATGAACTGGCTTCTGAAGATTCATCCGACACAACTTGGGAGTGCCCACTATGAGCTGGTAGAGAACTCTTTGACGAACAACAGAGATTAGCTTTGATACATGAAATCTGAGCATGGAGGGTGCCCTTGAAAAATGTTAAAAAACAAAAATTCAACCAAGTAAATCTAGTGATACAACTGGCTTTATGCAGTTGCTCATGAATCACAGCATCCCACCTATTAATAGTCATTAAAATAGTAAATGGTAAATACTAGCAAGAAAAAGTAAATAATAGCAAATAAATCAATAAATATTATTTTATTTAATAGTAAATAAAAACCTTGGAGCTGGTGAACAAAATGGAAGGTTTTATAGGCAGAAGGAAGGTGGGGCAAGGAGGCTATTAGCAAAAGAAAAGACAGGATTGTTTCTGGGCAGGCCCTCAGATCTTGGGGGAACAGCGGTCTTTATCATGCAGTTTGCCTCTCTAGTGTTGATCAGGAAATTTCAAATTGTCTATTTAAAGGTCACATTCCTGGGAGAGAGTGAAACTGCAATTAAGCCTTTTTCTTTACAATTTTATTTGTTTATTATTATTTTTTAATTTCTTTTTTGGCTGTGCTGGGTCTTTGTTTCTCTGTGCAGGCTTTCTCTTGAGACTGGGGGAGGGGGCTTCTCACTGTGGTGGTTTCTCATCGCTGCAGAGCGCAGGCTTTCGGTGAAGGGGCTTCAGTGGCTGTGGTGCGTGGGCAGGGCATGTGCATCTTCCCAGCCCAGGGATCAAACCTGCGTCCCCGGCACTGTCAGGCAGACTCTCATTCCCTGCACCGCTAGAGAAGTCCTGCAATCGAGTCTTGATTTGCCGTCACGGGGCCAAGAGACTCCATCTGGGGCTTGTGAGGTTGTTGTTGTTGTTGTTGTTGTTGTTTTGGACGCACTTTGAAGCTTGTAGGATTTTATTTCCAGAGTTCGATCTCTGTCCATCAGCAGTGAGAGCATGTAGTCCTAACCACTGGGGCAACAGGACATTTCCATGTGATTTTTTTTTTTAACAGAAATGAGGTGGACAGCTCATCTGAAGACCATTTGTTGTTGAATGCAAGCTTCTCAATGCACAGTGAGGCCAAATAAACCATAATATTGGAGGTTGGAGCAGAGAGAGATTTATTGCAGGGCTCAGCAAGGAGAATGGGTCACTCATGCTCTAACTCCCCGATGGTTTGGGGGGAGATGTTATTACAGGTAAAATCTGGAGTGAGGACTGCTAGGTGTACAACTATCCTTTAATTGGTTGGTGGTCTAACAGGGTGGTATTTAAGGGTTCCTGTGATTAGCCTGAAGTTAGCATCCTCCATCTGTATGGGTGGTTCCTGCAAAAGAACCAGGATCCTGGATTATAGCTGATTGCATCCTCCATCTGTATGGGTGGTTCCCACAGAAGAACCAGGATCCTGGACTATAGCTGATTGTTTCCTTGTTTCAGCATCCCTTTGCTTCCCTGACTTTTAAAAATAAGAAAACTGGGGACACAGAAAGGCTTTTGTGCCTAGGAGGGCCCCACAGGGTCCTGCTCGGTTTCACAAGCAGGGATTGTATGTTGACCTGAGCTGAAGAGTTAGATAAATGTAAGCTGGCTAAACTGAACTCTCTTGCATTGTTTATCCCTCGAATACTTACAGATAGAAGAAGGATGTGTATAAACTTCTAGGTGAAATCATAGCTTTCATTTAAATTTTAAGAATCTGTAACAGAGAAAAAAAAGAAGAAGAAACACTTAAGAATGACTTTCTTGGTAAAATCAGAGACAGAAACAAATGTTTCTTTATACAAGAGGCCTAATCAGGCAAAGTGGTTTGTCCAAGGTTACATAACTATTGTTGAACCCAAGTTCATGTGCCCAACTCACAGTAAAGCCAATCAAATTGAAATGTCAGAATTTGGAGCAAGAAAGGTTTATTTTATGAGCCAAGCAAGGAGAATGGGCAGCTCATGCTCAAAAGATGCTAACTCCCTGATGGTCTTCAAGGAAGAGTTTTTAAAGGAAAATTTTGTGAATGTGGGCTGAGGGATGTGTGACTTTCTTCTGATGGTTGGTGGTGAGATAACAGGATGGCATATCAGAAACCACAACCTTCAGGTTCAATCTGTTTCAATCTCAGCTTTCTGGTTCAACCCAGTCTGGAGTCCACATGTTTGTGCTCAGCCTGAAGTCACCACTCACCACCTGTTTGGGGGCCTCAGTTCCTATAGAAGAACTCAAAGATATAGATCAGATTGTGATTGTTAGGCAGTTAGAATAGGAAAAAGGAGTCCAGAATGGTGGTGGCTACGAGACAAGGCAGGGAAAAGCCCACAAAAATAGAGCAAAGGCAGGTCCGAGGACTGGAGTGAGGACCTCAGGTAGAGCAAACAGCACTCTTGGCCAGCCCAGGTCACACACGCAAGTCCAGGAGGAGGAGAAGAAACATGTAAAAAGAGGAGCCAAAGGGTCAGGGCTCTCTCTATCTCTTCTCTTTGTGTCTCTTGGGTTGGCACGCCCTCATGCCTCGAGGATGTATTTTCCTTTATTTTCTAAATAAAACTGAGCTGTAACACGGAGCTGTGACACTGGCCCATCTGAGGGTGGTAACGCTGGTTTGTCGCTTCACATTTTTGCTGTGACGAGACAGAACCAAGGAAATTACACACGCCCCCGACATGATGCACGTCCCTTGAGGGGGAGCCAGGCCTCTGCTTTATCGCTGCACTGTTGTTGCATGACCACATTTCCTTTGTTTCTGCATTCCTTCATTTCTAACTGGTAACTGTTTGAATCTACCTTTTGTAACTCAGGAAAGGTGTGGGAGGATGAACCCTTTTTCCTACAGAACAGAAATGGGGAAAACAGAAAGGCTTCTGTACCCAGGAGGGCCCCCCAGGGTCCTGCTCTGGCTCAGTTCCCTCTTTTCTTTGAGGTGAGCAGCTGTAGGACAAGAAAGGGAAGAGAGGTTTGGACAGAAAGGTGAGTCCTAAACTCGGCAGAGGAATTCAGTTTTAGGAGGCTCAGCTTCATAACTTGAAAGAACAAATTTAGGACAGGAGCTCAGGCCTCTGGCCCCTCCCCCCTCCCCCTCAGCCTCCCTACACGGCTAACGTGACCTCCGAATGGATCACCCAGGGTGGTGGCTCCCCAACGTCCATACAGGTTGCACCTCCTTTTTTTTTTTTTAACATTTACTCGTCTGTGTCTGGTCTCAGTTGTGGCACGCATGGCAGTCTTTGCTGCATCATTCACGACCTTTCATTGTGGCACACAGACTCTCTAATTGTGGTGTTCTGGCTCAGGAGCTGTGCACGTGGGCATGTGGAATTCTAGTTCCCCGACCAGGGATTGAACCTGTGTCCCCTGCATTGCCAGGCAGATTCTTAACCACTGGACCATCAAGGAAGTCCTGGTTGCACCTTGTTTTAATTCAGCCTTCACTTATTTAGCATTTCCAGGCACTGGGCATTGTACTAAGAGACACTATTCTCTCTTTTTCTCTCCCCTTCCTTCCCACCAACATTTATTGAGCTTGAAATCTAAGTCAGGCACTCACTACCCTATTTTAGGGGCTGAGGGACAAAAAAATTTACTGTTCATTTAGAAAGACAGAAATGCAGACAGTTCTGATACCATGGGATGTGTGTCTCAGGAAAGAAATATACCATGGCCATGAGAGCCTGGGGGTGATGCTCATAGCAGTGAAACCTTGTAACAAAAAGGAAAGTCTGAAAAGAGAGTCCCTCACCTCCCTGGGCTATTCTCAGGGACCTGAAGGCATCTCAAACATGGCAATATCTTTGTCTGTCTTGGCAGCAGTTTCTGGCCCGAATGATACCCAGTCCTGTGGTCCTCCTTGGACAGAATTTTTGAGCAGAAGTTATTTGACACTGGACTGAGGACCACACTTTGTGAATAAGCTCTCCATGAATTTCCCAGAGCTAAAGATTGGCCTAGCACCCGGGGCATCATCCACAAAAGTCAGAAAGGGGGTGAGAGACTTGGGGCTCAGTGAAGTCAGCTGGGGGAGCCCTTCCCTCTTCACGCACTGTGCTCACAACACCCCAGAGCTTGGCAGTGTACATCTCTCACCTCCTTACCTGCCACAGATTCAAGATGTGAACATTGTCTATGCTCTGTGTTTTTGACCCCTTGGTGACCCTGAAAGTGAAAGGTGCTCATTTGCCGGACTCTTTGTGACCCCATGGACTATACAGTCTATGGAATTTTCCAGGCCAGAACACTGGAATGGGTAGCTTTTCCCTTCACCAGGGGATCTCCCTGACCCAGGAATTGAACCCAGGTCTCCTGCATTGCAGGTAGATTCTTTACCAGCTGAGCCACAAAAGAAGCCCAAGAATACTGGAGTGGGTAGCCTATCCCTTTTCCAGTGGATCTTCCTGACCCAGGAATTGAACCAAGTGGACTCTACCAACTGAGCTATCAAAAGTCCTTATTTAGTGACTCTAGGGCAGATATAAAGTCAAAGAGGTCTGTGACCTTAAATTCTTATTTTTAAGCATTTGCCAGAAGATGATAGAAAGATTAGAATATAAAGGGCTATGATGGTTACCACTGATGGAAGAGATGTTGTAAACTACATTTAGAGCTTCTCAGGCTATGAACAGTAAAATACAAAATTGTCTAAAATCATTTTAGAACGGTGATACAGACACAGATCATGCCTCACCACCACACAGATGGGAAAGCCTCCTGACCACCTTCCCTCCTGTCTTACAGGCGAGACAGAAAGCAGAGGTGCTTTTTACTTTGCTGGGATGTTTCGCATCACCAACATTGAGTTTCTTCCTGAATACCGACAGAAGGAGTCCAGGGAATTTCTGTCAGTGGCGCGGACTGTACAGCAAGTGGTGAGGTGATGGCGGGAGCTGGGAGAGTCTGGGAAAGGTGAGGTCAGTGGGGGAGGGATGGGGGCAGAAGGAAGAACTCAGGAAAACATGGGCTTTAGCTCATCATGGTTGTAAGATAAAATTGCTATTTTATAGAATTATTTCTTTTTTTCCTACTGAAAATAAAGAAAGGGCTTCCTGCACTTCAGTTTTTCTTATCTATAAAATAAAGTAATTGTATCAGGTGAGCTTTAAAATGCCTTCTAGTACAGAAATCACATGCATACTGATTAATTCTGTGATCCATACACATTTATTTCAACACTGATACACTGGCATCTCTCCACTTAAAAAAAACCCACTTTTCCTATTACAGAACTAATTCATATTTATTGTAAACATTTATAAAATTTAGAAAAAGTATTAAAAAAAATAAAATCTCCTTTAATGCAATCTCCAGAGATAGAGCCTCTTTTGATTTTGGACCACACAGACATAGGATATAGCACAGAACTGGAGTATTAGTAGATATTCAGTTTTATAATCTGACTTTTTCTTCTTAACATTGCATGTTTCTACGCGAGTACATGGTCTTTAGAAAAAAACATAAATTTTGATAACTTTGAAGTTGGTAAGTCCCTTTTTATTAGATATTTAAGTTGTTTCCTATTTTTGCTGTTACAGACAATGTTATAACAAAACCACCAGGTAAGCTGTGTGTCTCTGATTACTTCCTTAGCTGAGTTCCTAAAAGTATAACTGGTCAAACAGAAAAATATCTATCATGACCTTTCCTAAACATCAATTATCTCTCCAATTAGCCCAAAGAGAGAGGCATTCTTTTTAAATCTCCTTAACATTTTTTTCCAATCCCAGGCAGTATTCCTCCATCCCCACCCAAAATCATTCCTCTCTACTGCTGGAGTGATCCTTGAACAATAACATTTCTCCTTTGGCATAAGGATAACATACTGATTCTGAAGAATGGCAGGCAAACACTTTTCTAGATCTGTCCCTGATCACCCCAGTCTCATTTTTCACCACTTTCTCCCACAGAAACTTTGTGGAATAAGGCAACTGTTGCTTGTTATGAATAATCATTGCACTGACATATCTGGTGGCTCTGATTTCTCATGTTACTCACTTTGGACCTGAACCTTTCTGTCCAGCCTCTAGGGAATGAAATTCCACCCGTCATTCATGACCCATCCAAAAAACCTCTTTCTCAAAGCAACCCTCCCTGGCCTCCTGTAGACTCAATGCTGACTTTGTGTAGACCCTGTTGTATAGTTCGTACTGTGCTCAACCCATTTAATTATAGCTATTTATCATCCCACCCAAAGAAGTAGGTATTTTTATCACCTCTTTACAGAATAAAAAAGAGAGAAGGAGGCAGGGGAAAGGAAGCTCAGTAGGCCAAGGTAACATATTCTGTGTTGCATAGTGAATTTAAACTCTGTGGATCGTATTTTTCCATGATGCTGTACTATTTCTAAAGTTTGGGGAGTTTTGTGTTTTTCTCATGGGCCATTTGTTGTTCAGTCGTGTCTGACTCTTTGCGACCCCATGGACTGCAGCACTCCAGGCTTCCTTGTCCATCACCATCTCCCAGAGCTTGTTCAAACTCACGTCCATTGAGTTGGTCATGCCATCCAACCATTTTCTCCTTTGTTTTCCCCTTCTCCTGCCTTCAACCTTTCCCAGCATCAGGGTCTTTTCTAATGAATTGGTTCTTCACATCAGGTAGCCAAAGTATTGGAGCTTCAGCTTCAGCATTAGTCCTTCCAATGAATATTCAGGATTGATTTCCTTCAGGATTGACTGGTTTGATCTTGCAGTCCTAGGGACTCTCAAGAGTTCTCCAACACCACAGTTCAAAAGCATCAATTCTTCGGCACTCAGTCTTCCCAACTCTCACATCCATATATGACCACTGGAAAAACCATAACTTTGACTAGATGGACCTTTGTTGGCAAAGTAATGTCTCTGCTTTTTAACATGCTGTATAGGTTGGTCATAGCTTTTCTTTCAAGGAGCAAGTATCTTTTAATTTCATGGCTGTAGTCACTATCTGCAGTGATTTTGGAGACTAAGAAAATAAAGTCCGTTACTGTTTCCATTGTTTCCGCATCAATTTGCCATGAAGTAATAGAACCAGATGCCATAATCTTAGTTTTTTGAATGTTGAGTTTTAAGCCAACTTTTCCACTCTTCTCTTTCACCTTCATCAAGAGAATCTGGTAGGTTAGGTAGGTGATTTTGCTACTATGTAGGAAGGGGAATACAGGGAAAGACTTGGTAGAAGAAATTGGTTTTAGAAATGCTAAGTAAGGGCACACCATGTCAGTTGATTAAAGTAGCTCTCTTTTTGAGATCCACTTACGGTGTTAAAAAAAAAAAATTCCTGGAAAGGAGAGTTCTGAAGGGAGATGCAAGGGCCTACCATGGGCGCTACTCGCCCTCTAGTGGCTAATTTAGGAATGTGTCCTTGAGAATATGCATTTTCCATGGTGTACATTGACAGAAGAGATTGGGTCAAACACTTTGAAAATGTGCTTAAAGGAATTTTACTCATTGTGGGGAAAATTTACTATTGGAGTAGCATAATTCTGAAGTTAGGCTTGATTAGGGTGTCTAAAGACAGCAATAAATGAATAAAGGTAGCTGATTAATTTTCACCAACTGCAGAATGACAGTAACTCTGATACAGGAAGTAATAAATTATTTTAATTCAAAGAATAATGCATGGGTTTGGGATTAGAAGCCTTTAGTTTGAGGCTGGCTTTTCTCCTTGCTAACTGTCAGAGCTTGGACCTATAGAATGCTGGGTACTGTGCAAGGAAGCCAAGTTTGAAAGACTTCAGACATCTTTGTTCTTCTTTTGCAGATAAACCTGGTTTATACAACACCTGCCTTCTCCAAATTTTACCGGCAGTCTGTAGCTGCGGATGTCAGGTATGGACAGTCCCTTGCTTCGGGACTTCTAGGTTCACTGCAGTAAATTCTCACAACGGTGTGGAAGGGCTGCAGTCACATCATTTTCAGTAACTTCTTGGAGACAGTTGTGGGTTAATACCCTTTTAGCACAATTGTGACCCAGATCTTTTTCATGCTGAGTTTTTCTCTTCATTTACCAAAACTCACTAGGAACTCCCCTGGAGAAGGAAATGGCAACCCACTCCAGTATTTTTGCTGAGAAAATCCCGTGGACAGAGGAGCCTGCTGGGCTACAGTCCATGGGGTCACGAAGAGTCGAACACGCCTGAGAGACGGAACACACACAAACAGCGGAATAACCTGGAGCTCTGCACTAGTGCTGCTAGGCAAAACGGCCACAAACACGTCCACTATCGTTAGGTGAAGGCAAAAATAAAACACTGATCGATGTATTTCAAAATATGCTCAGTAAAAAACTAGCTGCTAGAAATCTTCTGAGAAAAAAGGCATCCCATGGTCAAATGATTTTTAGGAAAATTTGTGTGCTGTGTGCTGTATCTTGCCTTCCCCTACCTCCACTATATCTGCAGAGATTCACAATTCATTTTGGCAGATTAAAGGCACTAAGAAAGTCTTGTAGTAAAGCAATTTGTTTCCTTCCCTTCACTTCCCATTTCCCAAAATATGTGCGGCAGAACACTATCTTATGTTTTTTTTTTTTTCATAAAACATGACAATATTTATGTCTCAGGAGATTCTGCTCCAAGAGCAAACTGAAGCAGGAGCAGCTACATGAAAACCAAATTAGGCTTGAATTCTAGATTTGTTACTCAAGAGCTGTATGATTTCTAGTTGACCCTCATTTCTTCATGTGTAAAGCTGGAAAAGTAATAGGACCTTCCTCACAGGATTAATGGGATAAAGCAGATTTAGCTCTGTGTCTAAAGATCCTGAGGTATCAAGCATTCTAACTGCTGTTATTTGTAATGGCAGTGAACACTGATGGATGCTCATAGAAACAGTGTATTCTCCATGGAGACGCAAAATATACTGATGGTTCTAGATTTGAACCCAGAGCAAGAATACACCTATCCAGATGTTTTTCTTTCTAAATTCCCATAAAAGTGGCCAATGGCTTCCTAAAGAAGGAGGTTATGTCTAGTTGAAGGGAGTGCTGATTGGCTTCACCTTGAATTTATCAGTTGGGTCGCTGGCTCCTTACGAATGTCGACTTTCTAAGAGGTATGTCCCTGAACTTCCGTCTCTTTTCACCGTAGCAGCAACAACAAACGTGGCCTCCTTGTCCGCTTCTGGCTTGTATCTGTCATGCCTCACGCCCCTTGCCCACTTCTGGCTTCTATCTGTCACGCCCCACGCCCCTTGCCCACTTCTGGCTTCTATCTGTCACACCTCATGCCCCTTGCCCGCTTCTGGCTTGTATCTGTCACACCTCACGCCCCTTGCCCGCTTCTGGCTTCTATCTGTCGTGCCTCACGCCCCTTGTCCGCTTCTGGCTTGTATCTGTCGTGCCTCACGCCCCTTGCCCGCTTCTGACTTGTATCTGTCACACCTCACGCCCCTTGCCCGCTTCTGGCTTGCATCTGTCACGCCTCACGCCCCTTTACTGGCTTGTATCTGTCGTGCCTCACGCCCCTTGTCCACTTCTGGCTTCTATCTGTCACACCTCACGCCCCTTGCCCGCTTCTGACTTGTATCTGTCACACCTCACGCCCCTTGTCCGCTCTGGCTTGTATCTGTCGTGCCTCACGCCCCTTTACTGGCTTGTATCTGTCGTGCCTCACGCCCCTTGCCCGCTTCTGGCTTGTATCTGTCATGCCTCACGCCCCTTGCGCGCTTCTGGCTTGTATCTGTCACGCCTCACGCCCCTTGTCCGCTCTGGCTTGTATCTGTCGTGCCTCACGCCCCTTGTCCGCTTCTGGCTTCTATCTGTCGTGCCTCACGCCCCTTGCCCGCTTCTGGCTTGTATCTGTCACTCCTCACGCCAAGGGCCACACCTTCTGTGAGGCCGGTGTGGCTGCCATCCTGAAGGACCCCGTCCAGACAAGCGTCGTAAACCGGGCCTCTGTGGGGGCCTGCAGGCTCTGGCTGTGGACATGGACTCTGTGGTACTAGATGGTGATTACTGGGTAATTCTCCCTCAAACTCTCCTTCCAGCAGTACTCTTGATGCTGTTTTATCGTAAGCAATGTTGTCACAAAGTACAGTCTTCCCTCTGTGTCCATGGACTCTGCATTCATGGATTCAACCAACCATGGATTGAAAATATTCAGAAAAAAAAATCCAGAAAGTTCCAAAAAGCGAAACTTGAATTTGCTGCAGGCTGGCAAATTTACACAGCATTTATGTTTAATTAGCTACTATGAGTAATCTCGAGGTGATCTGAAGTATACAGCAGGATGTGCATGAATTTTAATGCAAGTACTATTCCACTTTATACAAAGGACTTGCATGTCCTTGGATTTTGGTGTCCTTGGGGGTGGGGGTGGGTAGTCTTGGATCCAGTTCCTGGTGGATATTGAGGAATGACTGTATTCTTTTCCACAATCTCAGTGGAACAGGATTAGCTAAAGACTCTGGAGCTACATTGATTTAAAAAGTTGCTAAATGTTGTATACAGTGACTAGACTATAGAATTGGGGTCAAATATATTTATGAAATTGAATTTATTAAAGTATATTCCCTATGGGGCTTCCCCAGTGGCTCAGTGGGAGAGAACTTGCCTGTCAATGCAGGAGATGTGGATTCAACCCCTGCGTCTGGAAGATCCCCTGGAGAAGGAAATGGCAACCTGCTCCAATATTCTTGCCTGGAAAATCCCACGGACAGAGGAGCCTGGCAGGCTACAGTCCGTGGAGTCTCAAAAGAGTCAGATAGGACTGAGTGACTGAACAACAAACTCTTCTCTGTACATAATTTGGCTTCAGGCACCTTCAAACCAAGGCTCCAAGGGACAAAGTCCTGAAGAAGGAAAGGCTTTTCTGAGGTTTACTTTCCTTGTTTCTTCCTTTGTTCAGACAGAACTGTGTCTGTGTTCTATGGTGTGTTCCAGTGCTCCAAAATGGCCTGCTCCATAGCACAAAGAGCAAACTCCATCAGTTGTCTTAACAGAAAAGTGGTTTAATTATTGTTTAATCCCAAATTTATGCATCTTTCTATTTTGATTTAGATTAGATAGATATAAGTGGGCATATAGTAGGTAGATGAAAAATAGAATAAGTAATGAATGAATGGAAAAATTTCTAGTGGAAAATTCTGTACCACATATACTATTTCAGATGCAAAACCAGTTATTTTCATATTTTGTTGTTTTTTTTTTTTGTCGCAAAAAGTGTTTAAAACTTGTTACTACAGATGATTTGAAGCATAAAAGTAAAGAGAATAGTTTAATGAACTCTTACACCCTTTATTCAGTTTCAACTAACTATCAACTCATTATTTTTCTATTTGATCTCTAAATACCTAAATGACCTCCTTTACCCTTCCAGGATTATTTTAAAGCAAATCTCAGATATACTGATTGCTTTTAAATGACTGAAAATATTTTTACTAAGCAAAATTCTGACAAACTGATTTCTGGGACTGACAGTTTTGTTTTGTTTTGTTTTTTTTCTATGTGTTTTTTTTTTGCAGGTGGTCTTTGATCAGACTACTGTTCAACCATAGGATCTGGTAAATTATATCTGTGGTTTCTTCCCTGCCCTTCCTCCCCCTACCCATGTCCCTGCCTACAAATCTATATCCTGTCTGGCTGTAACTTTCCTGTTCAATGGTATTTGTTAGTGTTCTTTCAGTTGCAAGTGACATATAGATATTCAAGCTAGGTTAGGCATGAAAGAAACTTGACTCACTCATATAACTGGGACATACACAGAGTACGTTGGCTGCAGGCATGATTGGGTCCAGGTTCTAAGATAAAATATTCTCAGGACTCTGCATTTTTGCTTTCTTCTGTTGAGGCTTCTTCAGGCAGTTCTTCCAGTGTGGTGGTGTAAATGGCCACCAGCAGATCCAAGCTTATAATTAATCAGTTTAGCAACCATGATGGAAAAAAAAGAAAACCTCACCTATATTTCATGGTAGTTCCTGCAGAAGTCCTGGCACTGAGTCTCATTGTCTCAAACTGGCTGACATGCCCTCTCCCGAACCAGCTTCTTTGGCTCTGATTGGTCAGTCTGGATTGTGTGCTCATTTCTGGATCTAGGGGTGAGTTTAACCCCAACCAAACTGTGTGGAGCATGGTTTCTCAAAGTGAAATCTAGGGACTGTTATCGGAAGAGATGAGAGTGGATTCTAGGCTGGCAAAAGCAGCAGATATTCTCCATGTGAGCTCTTTTGTTGTTTATTTTTTATAAAGATTTCTAGAAAAATTTTCCTAAAATAAAACAAAGCAAAACCAAGTGCTGTCTCCGCAGACAAAGGCTGCTCCCAGGACTTCTATGCAGATCATCTGTCTCTCCGCTACCCTCTGGAGATTTCAACTACCTCAGGGAGGCTGATGTGCCACTTCAAGCTGGTGGCCATAGTGGGCCATCTGATCCGACTCTCGGTAGAGTCTGTCCAGATTGAAGCTGACAACTGTGTCACCGACTCCCTGACCATTTACGACTCTCTCTCGTCAATCCGGAGCACCATCTTGTACAGGTATGATGCAGGCACTCTAGTTGGCATGTGTAAAGAGTTTTTATAATCTCTCCTTTTGCAATGTCTGGGTTGCACTTGGATTTTTTTTTTAACCATTTTTGTGTATGTTCATGAGGTCAGAGATTGCCCCATGCCTTAGTGAGCGCCCGGTGGATTAGCCAGAGCATATCAGACACAACGTTTCTTTTCACTTAAGAGCATACAACAGGCAAAATCAGTACAGTGGGAACTTTGCTCAACAGTTTTGATATATAACAGATTTCTGGGGGGTGGGGAACCTTAGTTTTACTTCATTACAGTCACAGCGAAGGCCGTTGTTTCAACAGAATGTTTAAATATGCTCTCCTCCAGGGGATCTTCCTGACTCAGGGATTCGACCCACAGCTCTGCGCCTCCCGCATTGGCAGGTGGGCTCTTTACCACTAGAGCCACCTGGGGAGCCTGTTTGAATAGACATTCTATTATGATTACACAGCTGCAGAAAAATAAAATGTTTCCTGTTTATAAAGATAGCACAGTGTTCACTGTGAAAGTGAGCTCAATCAGAGAAAACAATGCCAACTAGTTTGCATTGCCATTACCCAGAAAAAATAAGCATTATATTTTTGCATACATTCTTTCATTCATACATGTACATTATTCTACACATATATACATATACATATCTTAGTATTTTTTACTTACTAGTAGACATCTTTTTGTGAGTGCTTAATAGTTTGATAACCTAGTAATGTCAGTTAGGCTTTATTAAGAATTTGTTATTTTTACTCATTGTGCTAAAAGACATAAATTATCTTATCATTTTTAATAATGTTTATGCATATATAGAGTAATATTTTTGTAAGTGTTATTTCTTCATATTTTGGTGGTGAATGAACATGTTAAAAATTCAGTGTCTAAAAATTTTTAATGGAAAATATTTGTGACTAATTCTTATCCCTCAATCATAGTTATTGGTTTCTTTTCACTATTCCCAGACACAATTAGTCATTATCTCATTTAATCCCCATCACAATGCTATGAGGAGTATACTATTACTATTACTGCCATTTCAGAGTTGCGAAACTGGCGTTTATGAAGAATTGGTTACTTCATTGCTCAATTAAGTGGCGGAGCTAAGTTTTGAACCCGGTTTTCCCTGGTGAAGAGCTGATGAATTTTGCCATTAAATACTCTTTGGGTATACCTTGTTTGCCCTCAGGAGGGTCCAGTGACAGCTATCCAGGAGAATTCTTCAGTAGTCCCTGGACAAAAGTTTCTGTGCCTGTATCAGCTCCGCTCCATCTGCAGGGCCCTGTGGGAACTAACTGATGAAGACCTGGCTGGCAAAGCCCCAGATATAAGAATTAGCTTACATCTGCAGCTGGCCCCAGAAATGTGCAGAATTAGTGGTGGACGAAGGTCCAGCCCTCAACAACCTGTTACTTATGTGCTTTTGTTTTGTTATCTGGTTTCAGAATTTGTGAACCTGCAAGAACATTAAAGTCATTTGTTTCTACAAATAATCTCATGTTGGTGACATTTAAGTCTCCTCAGGTATGGAGGCTATCAGGAATTCGGGCATATTTTGAGGTCATTCCAGAACAAAGTAAGTCTTTCCCAGTTGAAATAAGTTATGAGAAATACTTGTTTTGATAAGATATTCCAGTCATATCTCTCTTGAGGCTGTGTTGTAATACTAGTTGAGACCCTGAGTCAGGGTCTGGTCAGAAGAGGGAGATCTCATTAGCTATTCTAACAGAGAGGATTTAATATAAAGAACTGTTAGCTCAGTGTAGAGGTGTGAAAATGGGTATCTCAAAAGGCCAAAAAAAAAAAAAAAAACCATAAAAACACGAAAACAAAAAGACTGTAAGTTATCATGGATGTAACACATGTAGGAAGCAACTACTACTGGTAGAGTTGGAGGAACAAATACAAGCAATTGGAATGATTACAGTTTAGCACTTGGAGGAAGGGGTCTGTGGAATGGCCCCTGAGGAGGGGGTCCTGCCTAGCTGGTGTTCATGTCTCTGATTTCGGAGGCAAGTGTTCATTAACTTGGGACCCAGGCCTTTGAGGGGAGGGTGCCTGACAGCTGAGCTGGCATCTTGAGGGAAGCTGGAAAACTGCTAACAAGATTGATTCTGCTGCAAGAAGGAGGAGAACCTGCATGGGTGAAGCAGCATTACTGGGGTGACACTCCCAGAAACAAGAAACAGACGCAAGTCTTCTCCTCCAGATTTCTAGCCTCTCTTTAGCACCTCTTACTGGCAGAGCCTGTGTACCTGCCTGCTAAGTTGCTTCAGTCGAGTCTGACTAGAGGGCTACAGCCCTCTAGTCTCTTCAGTCCGTGGGATTCTCCAGGCAAGAATACTGGAGTGGGCTGTCATGCCCTCTCTAGGGGGTCTTCCTGACCCAGGGATCAAGCCCGCATCTCTCATGTCGCCTACATTGGCAGGTGGGTTTTTACCAGTAGTGCCACCTGGGAAGCCCTCTGGCAGAGTCTATCAAGGGGTAACAGAGAGAAGTTTGCAGAGTCCCAGACCAGCCTTGCGAAGTAGAGAGGGATGAGTTTGGAGCCGAGGGACAATAGCTCAGCAGCGCACATTCTTCTGGCACATTCCTTTGTGGATTCTCTTTTACAGTGATGCACATGAGTGCCAGGCTTCCCAGGCTGTGCTCGTGTTAAAGAACTCGCCTGCCGATGCAGGAGACATACGAGACGTGGGTTTGATCCCTAGGCCGGGAAGGTCCCCTGCATGACAGCCCACTCCAGGATTCTCGCCTGGAGAATCCCATGGACAGAGGAGCCTGGCAGGCTACAGTCCATGGGGTCACAAAGAGTCGGACACAGCTGAAGCGACTTAGCATGCATGCACATAAGTGCCATCCTAGAAGGTGCTTGTGATGCAAAACCCAGAGGTTTTCTAGTGAGCAAAATGTGACCTTTCTCTTCTTTCTTCTCTTTTTGACTTGGGTTGAAATAGTCAAACAGAGCAGGATGAAAAGAGCCTTCACTGAAACGCTTATGTTTTTGTAACGTTTGTTGCCTTGGAAACTGCTCAGATCTTAACAGGTCATGTTTTGCTGACTTCTTTATGAACATCTACAGAAAGATCAGGATGAGAGGCAGGGGAAAGGAGGGAAGAGGATCTGGCTTAAATAGATGGTGAGAGCTACAGATCCATCAGTGTTTTGGGACAGTGGCTCATTTTGATACATTTTTACAAAACTGAATGTAAACTTAATTTGTTGAACAAAATTGAACTAGATATTTGAGATATTGTTGCTTTGAAAGTTATCTGTAACTCCAAAGGTTAAAAAAAATAATTATAACAGAAATATGGTACTGGAATTTGTCTGTTCACTCAAAATATACTTATTGAATGTCTGTTGTATGCCAGAAACTACTTAGGTGTTAGGGAAATAATAAGCGAAATAGATTAAAAAAATCAGTGCTCTCAGGCAGCTTATATTCCGGCAGAAAGATGACTATATCAGTAAGAATAGACATTTAGATCGTCTTAAAGACGATCTTAAAGATCTTAAAGACATGTTTACATAACATGTTATGTAAACTGGGTATACCCCCTTTTTTTTTTCTGGGTATACTCTTGAATAACAAATACACACTAATTTGAACAAAATTAACTCAGAACTTTAGAAATATATATATTTATAGTGCTGTATGTCAATATATACATACAGGGTTAATATTTTAATCATAGCTCAATAAAACTGGAAGAAAAATATATTTAAACCATGTTTTTTAAAGAAAGGAATAGCATCCTATAGCATCCTGTAACCAAAATAAATTATTTGAAAACAAGTGTAGACTTTGAACAGTATAATAGCTATGTATCCTAGGGTACTATTTCTTTTTAAAAAGTAGCTTAAATTTCAAAGATAAGCATTTATTGATCAAGAAAATGTGTATTTATAGTTAAATAAATGTATGCTATCTATTTCTCATAATTTCACAACTGCCAATCACTATGTGTTACTGGATATTTTTTTTCAGAATGTGAAAACACAGTGTTGGTCAAAGAAATCACTGGTTTTGAAGGGAAAATTTCAAGTCCATATTACCCAAGCTACTATCCTCCAAAATGCAAGTGTACCTGGAAATTTCAGGTAGCCTAGTTTTACCACTATCTTAGAAAAATATTGTTATCCTATTCTTAGTAGCAATTTATCTCTGAATTTAATTATACTGAATGTTTAAATTATTGAAAAGAACGTAGTTTTATAGTATTTAAGCTTTATTAAAATATTTTACCTACAACGTGAAAGTTTGGTGTAATTTCAACTTGTTACCCACAAATTAATTGCTGTTTGCAACCTGGAGCTTATTTGTCCAGTTTCTTGTTTTGTTTGTACTTAAAAATGCAGGCTTCCCTGGTGGCTCAGATGGTAAAGAATCTGCCTGCAATGTGGGAGACCAAAGTTTGATCCCTGGGTTGGGAAGATCCCCTGGAGAAGAGAATGGCCACCCCCTCAAGTATTCCAGGGGCTTCCCTGACGGCTCAGGTTAAAAGATGCAAAGACATTATTACAGGATCAAGCGACTTATTTTATTATGATAGAGCTCATTTATTATTAATTTTTAATTACTTCATCACCAAGAGTAATTTAAAAAATAAAAATTGAATTAAGCAAGAATGGCAACCCACTCCAGTATTCTTGCCTGGGGGATCCAATGGACAGAGGAGCCTGGCCGGCTACAGTTCATGGGGCTGCAAAAGTCAGACACGATTTAGTGATTAAAACAAACGAAAAACATATATATCATTGTATAAACAAATCAGTGCAAGTTTATATGAAATACATACACCTCCTTCTAGTGCTGGACAGGGAGTCCCTGGTTTTTGTTTGTTTCTCTGTTTGTTTTTAAAATCTCAGTCTGTTACCTATTTTTCCTTCTTCAACTTAATGTTCATGTCGAGGGAGACAGGGCAAGGTGTCACCTTTGCTCTCCCAGCATGTGCATGTGAAGTCGTTCTTGTGAGATCATGAGATGCAGGTGTTGGGTGTGAGCGGCAAGCACTGTCTAGCTTGCATCCATTCAGCATGCTGTTATTAAATGTCTGCTATGTGTCAGGCAGTATTCTGGACGCTCGGATCCATGAAGTCTGACACACACACACACACACACACGCGCTCTGCTCTCGTGGAATTCACTACAAAGCAGAGGGAGACAGGTGACAAATAAACAAGGTAAATGTGTAGAGGCCCATATAGTCAAAGCTATGGCTTTTCCAGTAGTCATTTCCAATGTGAGAGTTGGACATAAAGAAGCCTGGCGCTTCAGAATTAATGCTTTGGGACTGTGGTGCTGGAGAAGACTCTTGAGAGTCCCTTGGACTGCAAGGAAATCAAACCAGTCAATCCTAAAGGAAAACAACCCTGAATATTCATTTTAAGGACTGATGCTGAAGCTCCAATACTTTGGCCACCTGATGCAAAGAACTGACTCTGTTGAAAAGACTCTGATGCTGGGAAAGACTGAAGGCCAAAGGAGAAGAGGTGGCAGAGGATGAACAGTTGGGTGGCATCACCGACTCAATGGGTATGAGTCTGAGCAAACTTCAGGAGACGGTGAGGGACAGGAAGGCCTGGTGTGCTGCAGGCCATGGACTCACAAAGAATCGGACACAACCAAGCAACTGAACAACAGCAGCAAAAATGTATATAGTGCATTCCACGACGATAGAATGCTGTGGAGAATGAAGCTGGGGAGGGGCTTTGTAGTGGAGTGGGGGTCAGGGTATGAAAGGTAGAAAGTCAGGGATTTGTTGTCTGAAATAGGATGGTCAGGGAAGGCCTCACTGCCAAGGGGACATTTGCACAGAACCCTGAGACACAAGGGAACTAACCTGCTGTGTGCTGAGGGCAACAGTGCTGCCGGCAGAGGGGAAAGCTGACGCAGAGGCTCCCAGGCAGGAGCCTGCTGACTGCACGTGTAGGGTGTGTGCAAGGTCATAACCGTTAAATATGGAAATAATTTTATTATACCCAAATCTGTACTTGGTGTCAATGTCTTGCCAGCATGCATCCTTAAATTATTTTTTAATCATTATCATAAACATTTAAAATATATTTAAGACATAAAGGTGCTGAACTCTGGCTTACTGCCAGATTTTCGGTGCCTCAGGGAAGCAGAAGCTCAGAGCCTCAGGTGGCTAGCTAGTATGAAGGTGGGGGAGGTGGGAAGAGTGAAAGAGAAGATGAGAAGGGTTGGGGAAAGAGGAGGGAAAGACATCAAATATGTCTCTTCAATCTCTTCAATGAACAGTTATTTTCTTCATAATATCGAGAACAAGAAAGGGGCTTCCCAGGTGGTGCCAGTGGTGAAGAATCTGCCTGTCAATGTAGGAGACGCAGGAGATACAATAGACGCAGTTTCCACCCCTGGGTCGAGAAGATTGCCTGGAGTAGGAAATGGCAACCCGCTCCAGTATTCTTGCCTGGGAAATCCCATGGACAGAGGAGCTGGGAGGGCTATAGTCCCTGGAACTGCAAAGGGTCAGACATGACTGCATGACTAAACACACAGAACAGGAAAGACTCCATTCCTAAAACCTCCAGGCGATTTTGAAATTCCTTTCAAGATAAAACAACTATTGATCCCACGTATAATTTAAAAGTTCCTAAACATTACTGTGATTAAGCTTTAGTTTAAGGTACAAATAAAAATATCCAATCACTTTCTGTTTCACTGAATCAAGGGTTAGAAACACTGAATAAAAGGAAATCTTTAAAAGGAAAAGAGCCTGGGAGTGGGAAATGGGAAATGAGAGACAGGAAATACTGGGGACAGACTTCTGGGATGACACCATTCCCCAGAGATCAAGGTCAGTCGTTCTCAGCGTGAAGGTTAAATATAGCTGTTCCTTCCTTGGAAAGCTTTGAGCAGCCACCAATAGCTGCATGAGAACATGTTTCTGAATGGAAATCGTGTAAAAAATAATTTGTCACCTGCAAAATAACTTTGTATTTATTAAAAAATGATTAAGAACCAGATGACTTAAGTAACAAAAATACTGACTCAAGTCATGATAAACCTTTTTTACGCAAAAGTTACTTATGTCATCCACAGTCCTTCTTAATGCCTGGTCCAATTTCCAAATCTACTGAAGAACAATCAGTTCCCTTTGCCAACTAACTTTCAGCTGAGTTTTTAAGGTCTTATTTATCTGAGAAAGTTTAACTCTTGCTCCAACTTAAAGCCCATCTGATTCTTCTCCCGAGCTCTCCTGTTCATCCTGTAAACGTTCGTAGAATGTCTGCTGCATGTCAGGCACTGTGCCTGTACAGGGTTGCCTAGCAGCAAGGCAACCAAAGTCCTTGGCAGGGCTTGCAGACTACAGAGGAGGGAGATGTCAAACCAGAAAAACCGAAAAAGAGCTCTGAGATTACAATATTTTGTTTAGGGTGCTTAGTGGCATCGACTTTTGGTGACCCCATGGGTTGTAGCCCACTAGTCTCTCTGTCCATGCGATTTTCCAGGCAAGAATACTGGAGTGGGTTGCCCTGTCTTTCTCCAGGGGATCTTTCCGACCCAGGGATATAACCCAAGTCTCTTATGTCTCACTAGTGCCACCTGGAAAGCCCCACTTTTGTCCAGTACTTTAGTGCTTTCAGCAAAAGTACATTTTGCTCTTCAAAATGTAGCTCTGATGTAGGATAGATACTCTAGTTACGGTTTACAGATAAGAAAACAGAAGTGGAGGCAAACCATTTGCCAGAAGCCACTCCAGTAGCAAGCAATCCATGTGGAATTAAAAGGAATCATACTTCCTCCATAAATAAATTCAGCAGCCCCTCCTTTTCTGGGCTCCTAAAGATGTTCAGACCCTAAAGATGGCAGAAAGCCAAAGAACTGATGCCCTCAAACTGTGCTGCTGGAGAAGACTCCTAAAAGTCCCTTGGACAGCAAGGAGATCGAACTATTCACTCTTAAGGGAGAGCAATCCTGAATATTCACTGGAAGGACTGATGCTGAAGCTGAAGCTCCAGTATTGTGGTCATCTGATGCAAATAGACAACTCATTGGAAAAGTCCCCGATGCTGGGAAAGGTCGAGGGCAGAAGGAGAAGGGAGTGTCAGGCGATGAGACGGCTAGATGGTATCACTGATGCAATGAACATGAACTTGAGCAGGCTCTGGGAGATGGTGAGGGACAGGCAGCCCTAGCGTGCTGCAGTCCATGGGATCGCAAAGAGCAGGACATGACTGAGCAACTGAACACAACAGCAACGAGGCGTTCAGCTTCCCTGTGTGTCGGCAATCACTCATCCGAACAGTCACCTCCCTCTCTCTTCTGTTCCCCGCCCCCGAAATGATCAGTTTTGCTTTAGAGTCTCAGAAGCAAGGAAAGAAGCTGTCTTTTGAGTTGTTTTACCACAGATGTTATCAGCCCAACACCCTATACAATTAAGTATGTTCTACCCGACATAAGCAGGGATCACCGTGGGCCATGGGAGTTCACCTCCTCATATCAGATGGGATTCCCAGAATGAAGCCTCTCTTCCATGCTTCTGTGGCAAGCATCTTTGCTGCAGAATTCTCCAGTGTTCATCTAAAGTTCATCTGAGCTGTGTGTACACAACCGTTGGCAAGCTAGGGGTGATTGAAGATAAGGCATGTCCTGCATTCTGTCATCATCTTTGACTAGAGAAATATTTAAATACAGCAGGTCCAGATCAGAATTCCTCCCCTTAGTTGGTTAAAGGTCACAAAGCAAAGGCACGGGCTGGGCAATGGGAACAGTATAGGACGTAGAAGGAGATAGCGTGCTTAGTAGATTGTTCCTATTTCTTGTTCACTTGTCAAAAATAGCTTGCAATGCTTTGTCAAAATGAACCTTGTCCCTCTGTTTACATCACAGTGATATCACTAGTGCCTCTTGTTAATCTGAGTATGAAAGCGGAAAGTGTGCCGTGCTATGTCAGTGGGATCAGCGTGCAAGGGGACATATTTCCTTCCACTGCAGACAGGCTTTGTGCTGGGGAGAGGGGTAGTGGTGCCTATAAATCCATTTTGTGTCGGTGCCCTGGAACTCAGTGAAAATGCCTAAGCGAGTTTCTTGGTGGAGGATTACACTGGAATATGTTCTTATGCCATACGATTTAATTGATTCCTTGAAGAGTTTACTGTCTCTCAGTTTGCATCTTTTTTTTTTTTTTTTTAGTATAAAGTCAGATGACGAGTGGAAAAAATGTGATATATGTTTTCATGAGTCTTATGGTGAATAAAAAACAACCCTGTTCTTTTTGAGTTCCCAACACAGATCTCTAGTTGGGACTAAGAGAAAGGAGGCCTTCAGAGACATGCAGGACTAGTTTGGACAAGCAGGATTAGTTCATTTCTTAACCTTGGGAAAGTTACTTGTCTTTGGTTAGCCTAGACTTCTTCTGTAGGATGGGTATCATACTACCTGCCTAACGGTGATGTTGTGATGTTTAAATCAGAATCATAAAGTACCCAACTCATTCCCTCTCAAAGGTAGGCTAAGGGGGAAAATCTACTACATTTAAACACACATTAGAAAGAAGCACACCACACAGCAAAGAAACTGTAACATGAAATATGAGGACATAATTGAAAAACCAATGTCTGTCAGAGAAATAACAGTCAATGGACAAAATTCATATGTTAAAAGAACAAGACAGTAAGATTGAATCACAAAATATTACCTAAAACTTAACTATACACTGTTTTTAAAAGACAAAATGAATTTAAAAGGTGATTTAATAAAGCTTAAAATAAAACTAGGCAGTTATACCAGACCACATAATAATAAAGTAGGGATCTCAACCTTAACACCAGACAATACTGAAATCAGGGCATTCAGTGAGAAAAGGAAGGCAATCTACAGTGATAAAGAGGGCAATCCACATAAGGATCTAAGTACTACAAGTATTTATGCACCAAAGGACATAGTGTTATTACTTGTAAAACTTACAGGAAGTACGAAGAGAAGTGGAGAGTGCTTCAGTAAGAGATTTTCCTTTTTCTTGGCTCATTACAGAGGCAGCGGGGGCAGGGGTCAACAAATAAGGCTAGGAAGAGTATTAAATCATACAAATAATAAGTTTGGTAATATATGTATAAACAGAAATTACCCTCCTTTTCAAACTGACCTTGGAGACTTCATACATTTGATCACAACAAAATTCTTGGTAAATTAAAAAGTTAAAAGCTACATTGCAATAAGTAACCTCTTATCTAACTTAGATAGAATTAAAACTTGAAAATGCTGCTGCTGCTAAGTCGCCTCAGTTGTGTCCAACTCTGTGCGACTTCATAGACAGCAGCCCACTAGGCTCTCCCATCCCTGGGATTCTCTAGGCAAGAACTCTGGAGTGAATTGCCATTTCTTTCTCCAATGCATGAAAGGGAAAAGTGAAAGTGATGTCGCTTAGTCGTGTCCGACTCTTAGCGACCCCATGGACTGCAGCCTACCAGGCTCCTCCATCCACAGGATTTTCCAGGCAAGAGTACTGGAGTGGATTGCCATTGCCTTCTCCAACTTGAAAATAAGGAAGCCAAAATTCTACTCCCTAAAATATGAGAACTCTCTCTTAATCTCTGAATCAAAGTGAACATAAAACAAGCATTGTGGCATATCAGATGTGACGTATGTGCGTAGCATACAATGCCACAACAAGGCCAGTTGCATTGTGTGTGTGCGTGTGTGTGTGTGTTCACTTGTGCATGTACCAAATAGGAAACTGCTTCTCTTATTTAATCTTTTCTGAGAATAGGGATGACTCATTTACTGCCTTCCAGAATACTAAGGTTTAATACAAAGAGGATATTGATTCATTCTTCCTTTTTCTAAAGAATCAGAATAATGTCTTAAATAAACTATGTCATTATTGTATTTAGGGAGGAAAGTGTGTATACTTGCTAACAAGTGGGTGTTTTCAAAGTTGAGCTCACTTACTAGGAGGAAGCAGAAATGTAGAGATGAACTAATGCATCTACTCCAGGTCACCTGGGTCATCACACTGCTGCCTCACAGCTGCTCCCTACGCCCTGGGGGTTCACGTCTGTCTCTCATGTTCTCCTTAGGTTGGTTTGTTCAGGGGGACTGGTCTACTTCACCAAGTGCCACAGGGCACAAGGAATAAACTCCTTGAAAACAGCAAGCCCAGGGAGTGAGTTCTGAGTAACAAAATCTTAGTCTGAAACATATTCTTCAATTGAGTCATTTTTCTGACATTGACTTACCTTTGTTTTTCATAGTCTCCCCCCTCAACTCTTGGCATAGCATTGAAATTCCATAACTATTCAATAACCAAGAAGAGGATGAGAGGCTATGACCATGGACGGTGGGAAATTAATGAGCACATGTAAGTGTTTACGGTATGTGAAGAATTTAATGAAAAGCCTTGCCCAGAAGTTCAAAGCCTTGGATTCCTTTTCTCCAAAGAGTTTTCACTTTGCTATTTATAGACAGGGAAACAGAAAATACAGGAGTTAAGTAATTTTCTCTCAGTTGCTCAGCTCGTAAAAGATTAAGCCAAGATTCACAAATCCCTGTTTCCATCACTGCTCCATGCTGTTGAGATATGGATATACATACTCCGTACTTCACAAAAATAATTGGCAGATAAACCATTGCAGTCCTGAAAGAAAATAGTAAAGAGAAGCCTTGGTGATTATAAAAGCTAGAAACCTTGAGCCAATTCTGTGCAGTAGGAGAAAGAAACTAAGAGAAATCTAGGTGTCTGGGCTTCCTGAATTGACCTAGTAGGTCCTCACTCTTTCCCTTACTTCATTCTTTAGCTGTTCCTACTGTTTATATGCTTCTAAAGTTATAATAGGTCTCATATATTCAAAAATTACAAGATGCCCTGTTTTTGCTAACTAGCTTCTCATTTTACTTTAAGGATCCTTGTGAAATTAGCCTGAGAAATCCGTCTGCTGACTCTTTGCTTCTTGTTCTTCCATGAATGAAACCTTCCCTTCCGATATGATTTTCCTGAGCAAACTTCTTTGATTTTCTTTAGACTCTTAGATGACTTTCTAGGAGACCCAGATTTGATACCTGGGTCAGGAAGTTCCCCTGGAGGAGGAAATGGCTACCCACTCCAGCATTCTTGCCTGGAGAATCCCATGGACAGAGGAGCCTGGTGGGCTAAAGGCCATGGAGTCACATAGAGTCAGACACTACTGAGCGACTAACACTTTTTTTTTTCATTTATTTTTATTAGTTGGAGGCTAATTACTTCACAACATTTCAGTGGGTTTTGTCATACATTGACATGAATCAGCCATGGAGTTACATGTATTCCCCATCCCGATCCCCCCTCCCACCTCCCTTTCTACCCGATTCCTCTGGGTCTTCCCAGTGCACCAGGCCTGAGCACTTGTCTCATGCATCCCACCTGGGCTTGTGATCTGTTTCACTACAGATAATATACATGCTGTTCTTTCAAAACATCCCACCCTCACCGTCTCCCACAGAGTCCACAAGTCTGTTCTGTACATCTGTGTCTCTTTTTCTGTTTTGCATATAGGGTTATCATTACCATCTTTCTAAATTCCATATATATGTGTTAGTATACTGTATTGGTCTTTATCTTTCTGGCTTACTTCACTCTGTATAATGGGCTCCAGTTTCATCCATCTCATTAGAACTGATTCAAATGAATT